GTATGACGAAAATCGAATGCAATGTGAATCCAGCAATAGACTTATACGATAGACGGAGCGTTCATACGAGAGAAGCTGAAGACAACATTGAAGGATAGCTCTACTCCAGACATAGTTGTTTCTCTCTTTCACAGTGAGCGGTGGGGGACCAATCAGCTTGAGCATAAGGCCATAACTCATGGGCTGTGTTTGAAAACAGCCGGGTGCCCTCGTGTATCGTTTTATCCTTATTTAACATTAGGTAAATAAAACGACACGCGGAGGCACTCGGGTGATGTTTTCGAGCGCAGCCTCGGACGTCTATCTTCGTTGCTTTCGGCCACTTCCCGACCTGCCGCAGCGACCAATCAATTCACTACTAGAAAAGAAGAGAACTACTCCGCGACTATTTCTCTCTCTTTCTATTAAGTCTTCAGCTTCTCTCGTACAAATGCTCCGTTTATTTTATAAAGCTAATATTACATTTGTCGTATGATAAATTTTTCAAGCGTGTTAATTGACTGCAGGACAAAGAGATTCGAGAACCTCTTTGTCCTGCAGCCAATCAACGGGTTCGAAAAGCTTGTCGTACGACAAAAAACGGATGCATGTAATATTGGCCTAAAAGTGCCACTTCATGCGACGCTAAAACTCTTGATGCTCGTTTTGTTCGTGTTCACTCTATGTAATTTTATCTATGATTGACGCTAAAAAGTTCATTTCTATCCAACTTTCTAGCGTTGGCGGATCCATTCTTGTAATATAAAATTCATTTTGTGCTTTTTTTAAATGGAAAATTTTGTTTATTAAAATTTCAACATGCAAAGCAAAGAAAGTGAGGTAAATTAATAAACATGAAATAATACAATAATATCATTTTTAGACCGTGTATGTGAGAGACAACCGATAAATTAGAGCCCTATACGGTCGAAGCTAGATAGTCTTAAAATGCTTAAATAATTCAATTTTTTGAATCATTAAATATGATGTACTAGACATACATACCACAATTAAGGGGATGGGTGGAATAAAGGCCTAATTGTAAACTCTTGATATTAATAAAAATTAAAATAACTTGCTACTTTTTTATTATACACAAATGAATACACAAATGAACAGTATCGAAAGAATTTATGTAATGTCTTTAAGAAGTTACATGTTACAATACTTTTTTATTACGATCAATATTACATGAAAAAGCTAATTGCTAGAAAAAGGGTCGAAGTAGAATTGTGCCTTTATTCCGTCCATCCCCTCAATTATAATCTAACGAACTGTGCACCGAAATATTTCCGGACTAAACACAATTAAACCATGTGTAGTAATTTCGCGAATTAAATTAAATTCTAATAATTTCGACGCTAAATCAGGCATCATATTTCAAAGATGTTAATATGCTGAAAAAACTGTAATTAAACTTATTGCGAAAAATATTACTTCGGCCGAGAGTTTTTCAGCATATTAACATCTTTGAAATATGATGCCTGATTTAGCGTCGAAATTATTAGAATTTAATTTAATTCGCGAAATTACTACACATGGTTTAATTGTGTTTAGTCCGGAAATATTTCGGTGCACAGTTCGTTAGATTATAATTGTGGTATGTATGTCTAGTACATCATATTTAGTGATTCAAGATTGAATTTTAAGATTTAGCTTCGATCATATAGGCCTCTAATTTATCGGATGAAATAATACTTTGAATATTTGTCTAATAACGAATTCGATCACTTGCACTACATTAGATCAATGCATACTAAAAGCAGCTTTACATGAAATTAGCAAAATTAAATGTAAAAGTATATAAGTATTTCAAACGATTAATTATCTACTAATGATATTGTCATTATTGTCGTTATTGTCGTTATTTAACAAAATGTATATCATTTTATTATCAAAATTGATTATATTGTATCACTGCATTGAGATATTTTATATAAATTAGCTTTTAATATACACTGATGTTAGTGCGAGTAATCGAATTCACCATAAGTTAATCGGAGTTGGTAAAAGTGGCCCTTAGACAAAAATACATGTTTTAATATGTATGTAAAAAAAATAAGCTCGATATTTCTATTTTTGTGCTTTTTAAAGCTGATGCTAGTAGATCTTAAAAAAAAAGAGGGATGAGCTGGTTGACACGATTCTTGCAAAACATTTGATCAGAAATAAAAAAATCAAATTTGTTCTTAAAGTATGGATCATTCATTTCTGTCTTATCGTACGGAATTTTGAATTTTATAAAATTACAAAAACTATTGAACTTTTTTTTAAAAAAAGTCACATTTTCACCCTTTTTTATTATATTTTTTAACCTAATTTTTTAATTTTTTAATCTAAAAAATTCAATTTTGAATTAAAAAAACTCTACGATGAGACAGAAATGAGTGATCCATACTTTATGGCCTGTATTCAGAACGCGCTTACAACGGTGTTAGCGCGCTAACATACTATACTTTACGTCACGCACAGTATAGAATTTCAAAGATAAAAGCGCGCTTTTATCGATAAAAGCGCGTTCTGAATACGGGCCTAAGAATAATTTTGATTTTTTGATTTCTGATCAACTGTTTTGCAGTAAACGTTGCAGTCAACCAGCTCATCCCTCTTTTTTTTTTTAAGGCTTACTAGCGTCAGCTATAAAGGCACAAAAATGAAAATATATGTTCATTTTTTTTACATACATATATTAAAACATGTATTTTGTATAAATAAAATCAAATTTCATTTACGTGTATTGTTTTCTTTTAAAAAATTCGTAAAGTACCGTTAATTTTCCGGTTTCTAGAGTGTTTCCCCTTAATTGCATCCTGATTCAATTTCTGGTCGTGTATGGGGCTACAGCGCAAGCCTCGAATCGATCTTCCACCCCATCTCATCCCCCCCAGGCATTCGCGAAGAACCCCCGGCCGACGACTCTGTTGTCGACCCAACAACAGTTCAGAATATTCAGAACCTCCCGAGACCTACGGCAAACATGGCGTTGGATTTCGCAGCGACGTATAAAGTCTTGGTTTTAGGCGACTCGAACGTTGGCAAGACCTGCATCGTGCATCGCTACTGCGACGAACGGTACTACGACACTTACATCTCGACGATAGGTGAGAAGACATCATCATAAAAATATTCACCGGGTTTTCTGTTTTCACCTGTAACGACCGCCTCCGGAGTCGCGTCGTTTCAGCGACTTGTTGTTGGGTGTTCATTGTGACGTGTCTTGGTG